TCTTTAAATTACACTGAAATTTGTAAATATTGGATGACTTTGCGCTGAGCCATATAGGCTCTTTGATGTGACTATAATTGACGTGTGCTTAAAATGAATTTGTATCAGTGATTGGGAAGTACTATATGGTGACCAGTTCTGAGTTGAATATGTTCCAGGTGTTTAAGATATGTGCATTCCTTGCTATTAATTGAGGTCCAGAACTTGCCCGATGTGTCTTTATAGCGAAGTAAGAGGATAAGGAATTTGGAAAGTGATATAGGTAATTCTTTGATAGCCCTGATTATGCCTTCCTATATCCACCTTTATGTATATCCCTAATTAAACCCTCGAGCCTTGAACTTATTCATTGGTAGCCTATTTTGAAGATAATACTTATTCCTTCTCTTGCCTATAAATTTGATCCAAAAGATCCTAAACACTTTGTGCGAACAATACTGAAGGAAGCGAAAGTTGAATGGCAAGCCCTAACATAAGTTTGGCAAATATATGTTTGAAAATAAAAATAAAATAAAATATGGGCACATATAATAAATAAATAAATAAATAAACTTTGATGAATGAATTTAGAATGAAAATGGTGGGAAGAGGTGAATGTAATGCTTTGCAACAAGCGGTCAAATGGTTCCAAGAAAAGGAGCGTAAAAAGGAGGTTATTGAAAGAAGGTCCAAACATAAAAATTTTTTTTGCATTAAAGCGCTTGGGAATGCAGTCACTATTTATATCCTAAAAATAGCTTGTACCTGTCTCGTAGCCTTCATTACAACCCTTAAATGGTCTAAGTGATCCTAAACTTCCATATTCTCAAAAGTAGTGAGGCTATACATAAGGGCAAGCCTATGGTTCGTTGGTTGTGGCATGTGAATTCTTCAAGAGTGTGAGCAAAATTTGATTCCCGCACCCATTTGGTTTGAAATGTTATGTGTGAGTATATTATTGTGTTCATTTGCAGTGTTGATCTGATATATCTTTGGATCCAAAAGTTATGCATGAGTTTGTTGTGTTATAAGAGTCTAATCTTGAGGCTAGATTGTCTTTCTCGAGTTGTCCGAATCAATGCATGGTATTTGTCGTGTTGTTTGTTGTGATATTATGGTAATTGTCGTGGCCCAAGCTGAAATGCTATCAGGGGAAGTGTAGTAGAGTCATGGTATGCTTGAAGTGTGGTAGTGTTTGAGGACGAACAAAAATGTAAGTGTGGGATGGTGATCTTAGACGTATTTATGCGCCTAATAACCAATTTATCTAATATATATAGCTAAGTTTGAGAGTATTTTTGTTGTCGAAATTGGAATTTGAGAGTCTTTTGATGTTGCTTCTTCTAACCAATATGATTATATATTTTAGGATAAAAAGCAAAGTTGAACGATCCAAAATAAGACACCTTGATAGGGGTCAAAACAAGAAGATAAAGTTGCCGGAAAAAAGGGCCAAAAATATAGAGAATACACTACAAGGGAGCATCTCTGCGTCGCAGAGCTAATACGTGTATGTACAAGAGGCATTCCACTTAACAGTGGAGTGTGAGATGGGAGCGTGTTGTAAAGAGGTTTCGGTTGTGTGCAAGTTTAGGCGAGGAACAGGTCCGCATCGTGGACCTGGGCACCATAATTTGTCCATGTGTTTTTATTTTAGACGATAAATGGTTTAGGTGGGTTATTTTATTTTTATCAAGTTCCAAAAAGACGGGAGCATTTGGAAGTTGGGCGATTTTGCTACACTCTCTAGAGTTTTTCTTCTATTTTTTCATCTTGGTAAGCCCTTGTATGATCCAAATACATAATTTCATGATATTTTGTGCTATGAGTAGCTAAAGTCCCTATTTCTAGGGTTGTAACTACGGCTAATGATTTAATTTCTAGTATGAGAAGGGTTATATTATGATTTGTACTTGCCTTATTGTTTAACTATTTTAATGCATGATCAATATTAAAATAAACTTGTTGTTCGCTCTTGAACTCGAAAGATGAATAAAGCGATAGACCAAAGAATGTGGGGAGTGGGTTCATTCTAAGGTAAAGTCTAAAATATTTTGTATATAGGATAGTTTTATACTTATATACCACACGTGGTTAATGAGAAAGATGAATGCTTGATGCTCCATCACTTGTTCATGCCTAACCTCTCTCAAAGATGTAGTTAGGTTGTCACTGGTGGTAGGCGATTAGAGGTCAGGAGAATATGATCGTAAAATAAACTTTGCGAATTTATAATAAGGATAACCCGTCGAATGATAGGATATATTATTATTATACCAAAGATCGATCTATGCTACAACCCTGGAATACTTCCCAAATTGTGAACTTCTCTTGTTTGAAACTGTTTGATTGTAAGTACTTAATTTTTGAGATTGTATAGTTAGTAGTTATAAACAACTTCTAAAATTGTTGTCACCTCAGTAAATTTAGTTATACATAAGAAAATTGGTATTTGTTGATTGGAAGTCCTTTGAGTTAGACAATTCGGCTTGAAAGAGTCGATGTACTACTTGAGTGACCATGTACACTTGCGTGTGCTTTTGGACGCAACAACGTTCTTTGGTGAAAATAGCAAGTTGTTCTCCTGCTTGACAATAATTGCAAATGAATTTTGTATTTCTTTTGTGTTTTTTAATATCTCTTTCTTGACTGAGTTTGGTTGTAAATCCATTTTAGATTTACAACTTCTCTTTCTTTGGTTGTAGTAACACACTATCAAGCATTAATTTTGTCAATCATCCAAATTATTTTCCTGTGGATTTCTTCCAAAAATCATGCTTTATTGTCTCATCATAATTTTATAGCTCAACACCGGTGAGGTTGCATCTTTGATAAATGTCACTCAACATTTTTTTTCCCTTGGAAGTGGTCCTTCGTAAATCTGAATTTGAGATTTCTCCTCATTGAGGGACATCTTCCTCGTTCTATTCCTCGTCCTCTTTTTTCTTTGACACATATAAAAATATGATAGAAATATTCTCTATCTTAATCCCAGTTTGTATCTCAGGATGACCTGCACCATGTATTTTTTCTTGAGAAGCTTCAAACCATGAAAATGCAAGTGAAAATCTTTTGTACCAAAACCATGACTATAACTTTATTTTTGAATGCATTGTAATGAAAGTGTAAAGGAAAATTTCTTTTTATCATCTCTACTTCAATAATGACTTGATTAGGCTCAATTTATAATAAATCTTGCGATAATTGTCTCTAAGCACAAGAGAATAACCATTTTGCACGAGTTGACCAACATTAAGCAAATTTTCTTTCAAGTCAGGAACATAAAGAACATCATGAATTTTCTTGTCGCTACCTTTTGTATTTGATCGAAATGGTACCTTTACCTTTTGAATCAACTAAGGCTCTATCCCCATCCTCATTTTAATAGTGATTCTACCATTATTGAGCGGAAAGTCATTTCATCTCCAGTCATGTGACTGCTACAATCGCTATCAACATACTATTCATTACTTTTTGCTGAAGCATTAGATTGAGAAGAAAAGAAATTTCTTCCTTTTCATCCTCCTGTTCTTCATAAAAAAATTGCTTGTTGTCGTTGCTTTGGCACAAACCTTCTCAATATGGATAAACTTTTTACAAAAGTTACATTGAGGCTTGCCTTTGTGTCAACATTTCTACATTGTAATAATTAGTCTTTTTTCAAATTATACAAAAAAGACTATAATTTTTTTCTCATTTTTCTTCAACCTTCTTAGATGAATCATCGTGATCCTGCTTCTTTTTTGGATTGTAATAAATTTTGAGAACTCTCATTGGTTCTGGACTGAAAAGTCGTATCTTTGAGTTGATCTTCATGAATTTTGTTTTGCTTCTGTGTGCACAAAATAATCTAACTATCTCTTCATGGAAAGCTTAGAAAAATCTTTCGTCTCCTAAGTGATAGCAACAATGTACTCAACAATGACACTTATTAGAATCTTTCACAGCTTGTTGGTCAGAAATTGTATCATCGTAATTTCTTATTTCCTTGACAATATTCATGACTCTTGTGCAATATTCATCTATCAGATTCTATCATCTTTTAATATAAAACTCTCTTATAAGAGTTTGAATTTTTATATTGCTTACTTTTTCGTCACCATACACCTCTGTTTCTAGAGACTACCAAGCTTGCTTTGCATTCGTAGAAGTAGCGATTTTTACAAGATATGATCTTGAGACTCCCATTTAGATTTTGATCAAGGCTTTTGCATCTTGAAGATATTTATCCACAAAATTTTTCATCTCTCTGTTCAACATTGTTTTCTGGCTCTTCATAGCCATTTACAATAATAGTCCATAATTTTTCAGCTTTATGATGTATTTTTCAATCTAATCCTCTAGTATTTGTACCCCCTTTCCATGTATATCAATTTATATGACTCACTTTTCTTCTTAGTCACTAAAAAGAATGATAGATTTCTTTATGTAGATTTTTAAATATTAAAATACTCATGTTACTCTTAATGAAATAATTTGAAGCCACATAAATATTTATAACTTATTATAGACAACACTCAAAAATCTTTTTTTCCTTTAACTCCGTGTCAAGTCAATTAACTTATATAAATTGAGATAGAGAAAGTGTAATGTTGAACCTTTAGAAATGATTCTTGGACGAGTACTTCTTTAAAGTTTACTATATTATTATTGCCAAATTTGTTTGTACAAATTTCGACAATTACATATATATATATATATATATATATATATATATATATAAATTGATCACTTCAACAATGTTACTAGTTAAATAAAAATTTCAAATGATTTACCAATTTAGGAAACACAAAGCATCATTAAAGATAAACGATGAAAAAAAACATACTTAATAACATAAGAACTACATAACCTATTATGTTGCAAGCTAAAACCTCATAAAATAAGTGATTTAATTAAAAAAAAAGCAAAAATTGACCATAATAGAAGACTCGATCACTGGTAAAGTCTTCTCGTATCAAAGCTTGAATTTCAATGACTTCAATTATCAACTCCATTATAATTTGAGTTCAAGATCCCTCCTACTCTTCTGGATCAGGAACGACATTTAGGTCAAACTTTAGATGCTCAGTCGTAATAGCACTTTGTATTTCATTTTTAAATTTCTCTACCTTCAACTTCAATGCTAGCTTCTGCTCCTCCATGTGTTTATCTGAAGGTATTTCTAAGCTAGGGTGCATAATCTTATGCATTAGTTTTCGTTTTTTCTCTTTGTCGTTCCATGCTTGTAATTCTTTATGGAGATCTTTCAATGCCTCGAAACCATTTGATTCTCCCTCAGCATAATCACGTTTGTGATCCTCCTGTTTCACTTTGAGAAATCTATCAATTATATCTGCTATGGTTGCGGAATCATTAGAATATGGTTTTCCACTTGGTGAAAATAGCATAACACCAACATCTGCTCCAGTCCGAGTTGCAAACTTATGTGCATCCTCGAACAAAGTTTTTTTTCTTTTTGAGAAACTCACCATACGTGCTCTCTCATTCTCAATCAACTTCATTTCAATTTTTTGCTTGCCTTTTTTGTTCTCATTCTCCATTGGAAAGAAAAATGTAGAATAAAGTAAAATGTTTTTGTTGAATAAGACTGGGCAATTTTAAGAGGAACATTTGTGTAATTTATAGTAGGTGAGTGAGTGTACTCTCACGAGTATTGTAATGTCTTCTTGTTATTAGTCTAGCTAGCTATCACATGTATTGTGATGTTTATTTTAATGTTTTTATATTATGATCGAATCTTTATATCACGTGTATTATAACATTTGTTTAATGTATTCACATTATGAGTCTATTATCATATTTATTTAGTATTTTCATATTATGTGATTTAATTACAAGATTACCTTGTAACTCGACAAAATTATGAAGTTACAAGGAAATAGTGTTGAATTGAATTTAAAGACAAATCAAAAATCAACAATGCTTACATATATAATATTAATTCAAAAAGTGGAAAAATTGGAAGAATAGTAGAGTTTTCTCTTTGTGACCTATATGTCACAAATTTGACTTGTAAGAGCAATCACTAATGGTAGTGTCAATTGTAAATCACAAATCAAATCCTTACAGAAAGGTGATTATACTAATCTAAATAAAATGATTCATGTCTTATGACTCTATGACAAATCTCATCCCAAGAATACTACTTCTTACAAATACATTCAACACATCGAGTCCTAATAAAAAAGTACCTATTGAATCTTGCATTCATCATCATGTTATAAAAACCACATTCAAGCCTAGAACTATAACCACTCAATGGAATCCTACTAACTAATTCTTCTAAAGTATCTCATTCTCTCACCATCTCTACCAGTATGTTATAAACACCACATTAGCGCCTAGAACTATAACCACTCAGTGGAATCGTATTAACTAATCCTTCTAAAGTTTCTCATTCTCTCACCATCTCTGCCAATTGAAATTTCACACATAACTACCTAGAAGGATCACTGAGTAAGTTTAGCGAAAGACCATAAGCATGATTCATTTGAAAAATATGATATAAGACTATGAATGACTTAACATTATGTTTGTAACCATTGAAAGTAAATCAAGAATTCATGAGAATGAAGTGCTTATATGAATGGGTTCAAAGCGTAAAGTTGATATATAACTTTATGGAGTAAGATTGATATAGTGGGCTAAAGTTTTTGCTTCTCATTTTCAAAACTAAGCATAGATACGAATCTATCTAAAGTCTGTCAGCATAGGTCATGGACACAAAATTATGATATTAGAAACATCAATAGGACGTAGTACTGACTGAACTTTGAGGAACATGCTAGAGTATGAATGTATTGATACAGCACTATGACTTATTATGAGCACAACACAGTTTGATTCTTGACACTTGACTTGATTTCTCATCTTATCATCTCCCCCTTAGGTCTAAAGCTGATACTTTGAGGTTATGGCTCTATTCAATCTTTCCTAAACTAGTCTATATTCAATTTACTCTAATACTTAGGAAAGACTAATTTCATGGTTTTTAAACTTTCTATGCGCAGGTACTAAGATTCCTTCTAAGACCTCTTACTCTTTCCTCATTAGCTTATAAAGTTGTTTAGTCTATTAATATTGCCTCTCTAAGTTCATATTTACCCAACTAGAGGAAACATGAATTATATTTAAGAGGCTCATCATTATCTAGGCCACATAAAATCTCTTTTACCTAATTTGTAAGGATATGAGATAATGCTTACATCAATCTACTCCACATTGACAACACAACTATACTATCTAGGTACACATGAAAAAAATATAAACTTAATTAGAACCTCATGTGACTACATACAATTTCGTGCACACATCTTAATATGCTTGCTAATCTAATGACTTAGCCCCACTTTATTGATCTAGTCTAAAAGTTAATACCATACTTGTACCACTCACATTCACTGCAAACTAAAACCTTAATTCTCCACCTACTCCATGTTAAATCTACCTGATCAAATTTCAAAACTAACATAATCACCTTATGTTGTCATGCTTTTTATGGTGAACTCGTCTCAAATTCAAGCTTAGTGTCTATAGTACTAAACATGGATATCATTATAATTACTCACATACTATACTAATCATGACTACTACATAAAATTTAAAAACAACTGTCTACTAAAACCTCATGACAAGTATTCAATGTTTATCTTTAGTCTACCTATTTACACATTACTATCACATTTCTTTGTATAACAGATGTACTATTTACTCATTCACTATACACCATTTTATAATTAGTTTTATAACCCTGTAAATATCATAGGGTTCTTCTTTCAACATTATAAGCACAACTTAGATTTGTCAAATCATGAATACTCTGCTATTTACTCAACACTTATACTTGATCTTCACTAACACATTGACACATCGACTTAAATTCTTTTCAAGTTGAAGTATACATAACTCATCCATAGTAGTATCTTTTACTCTGCCTTAATTCTATCATGAAATTGACACAAAATGATTACTATTTAATACACACATAAAGGAAAAACTCCTCATTAATGACTAACTAGATACACATGTACAACTTATATACTCTACTCAATAACTATCCAAATCTTTAAGCTACTACACCTCTAAATTCACACTTCTGACTATGAGCCCATCTACTACTACTACTTATAACATCGTAATTCATACTATCTTTTAAGTAAAAATATTATCCAAGCTCTATAACATACTTCTCTCTTAAATGGTATCACATGAAACTAAGTCCGGGTACCAAAACGGTTTTGTCATGCCCCGAGCCTACACCCTAGGAGGGATTAGCACTCGAGAACCATTGTTGGCCCCGAGTGAACCATTGGCATGACTTACTTACTCAACGAAAGACTATATACATGTTTACAATGATCAAATACCACACTCATTCGAATAATAAGATAACTTAAGAATGTTTGAAAGTTAAACATTCAACTTGGCTAAAATGGCAACTCAAGTCTCAACATATGAAATTATAATGTAAAGACAATTCAACTACTAACTGTCTTTGAAGCCTCTATAAAAAAGAGGGATATCTAGACAAGACCCCCGACCATCCTAATAATGAAAAATACTGAAAGTAAAGTAAAGGAATCCTGGGAAATCCCAAGAAGCTCACCATCAGACTCTAAACTGCTCATTGGATCAATGTTGCGCTGGATGTCAATCCTAGTTAGTTGTGTCTGCATCATAAGATGATGCAGATCAACTAGCATCAGTACATTGAATGTACGAGTATATGAGTTGGAATGATAAAAACAACACAGGCTTTAAAAAAAATCTAACGAACTTACTTGGTTCATCTGAACTCAACTCATCTCAATATAAAGTAGTTTAAAACAAGTCAACTCAAAGAAAAGTTGTTTAAAACATGATGTCAACTCTATGTGTATGCAAAGATATACTATAACTCTTAAAATGTATGTAAAAATACAATAAAATGTGTATATGAGAATATAATTACTTCTGAGGCAGTAACTCTAACCGACAACCATCACGTAAGAGATATCGTGATGATACAACATTTTACCTCACACTGCCTGGGACATCCTATACCTTGCTGAGGATAAAGAATCTGAACTACTAAGTGGATCCACTAGTCTATGCTAAAAAACACTAAAGTAAATCATCTAAAATGTATGATCCCTTTATATCCATGGTGGTTATATGGTTTATGGGGGCTGTGAATTGTCTGAACTCTCCCCCATATTGGTTCTCAATACTTCTCCCAAAATATGTTACTAGCTCTTATATTTATGTGATTTGAGATTAATGCTCAAAAACTTATCTCAAAGGCTATCTTGGAAATCAAAGTTTCCTCTCCTTCTTCATTTAGAAATCATTACTCTTTTTTGAAAACTATCCCGAAGGCTCTTTGAAAATCAAAGTTTCCTTTCTTGTTTAAATGTGAAAACATTTAAAAACCTTTGGGGATACATAGTCCCGATATACTTTTGGAGAAATGAACTTCAAAACTTTACTCAGCTTGGACTTTAAGTCTTAAAACAAAGTTAAAACATTTGGAAAAGACTTTTTGAAAACTTCAAAGAACTTCACTTGACTTGCTTCGTAACTTCTAACTTGATTCTTAACTTTCATTGAATTAAATTATGGATTCAAGGATTGTTATTTGTGAAAGGAAACATATCATGATGTTTAGGGTTGATTATAGATAGCTAAACATAAGAAAAGATCAAGAAATCGTTGTCTGAGGGTGGATCGGCGACGCGGAGAAACATTTAAATTTTTTGTTCGAAAATTTTTTTTCAGGCAGAATGGTCCATGACCGCTCCGCGACGTGAAACGATTTTCCCCAAATTTGTAAAGTAGATCCGCGATACATAGGGACGTCCCAGATTCGCCCGATGAAAATTCTTTTTTGCTTTCTAGATCTAAACCCTTTAAACTCCATTGGTTCTTTCCCAAACACTTAAATCATCTATACCCTCAATATATGATAGATTCTATACACCAGAAAACATGAAACAAATCTCAAGAAACTTCAACAACACAACTCATAGAAATTCAAATGAATATCATCAAGAATTCAAAGGATTTACTTTCAAAATCAAACATATTTCGTTGAATTGAATCATGATTGGTCCGTGGGTGAACTAACCCAACGCTATGTCTCACATACCTTGTAGGTATCACCCTGACGAAGTACACAAGCTAAACTTGACGATCTTAAATGTTCTTCTCTTTTCTCCTTTTTTTCCTCTTCTTTTCACTTCTCTAAAAAACGCTAAATGTTTTTTTTTAAAAAAAAAACGTAAACTAACAAAGTTCAGTTTAGACCCCTAATTAACTATCAAAAATGAATTAAAATAAAATGATAAGGAAAAGACGAAACTACCCTTCAAAAATCCGGCTTGGACTTTTCTTATTCCAAGATTAATCCAACTTTCAAAGAGCATAACTCACTCATACAAACGCGGAATTGCGCAAACTCAGCGGCGTTGGAAAGATCATTCCAAGAGACTTCCCACCATCTCTGGAAGTAGCTCTAACTCATCCTGAGCTAGAAGTTATGGCCGTTTGAAATTGACAAAAA